GGCGATTCGGGGGGTTCGATACGAACCCCCCCCCCCCCGAGCCCCCCCAAGCAAAAAAAATTTTTTTGGAAATTTGCAAGAATTTACCTTAGGTCGCTCCATTTTAGTGTAATAATTGCAAAATCTCCATCGTGCGGAGGGGGTGAACAGTGAACACCTCCCTCCCACACCTCCCCCGCTCGGTCGCTTGGCTCTCTCGCCTGGTCGCTTCGACCGAGGCAGGGGCGTGTACAGGGGGCGGTCAGGGAGTCCGGACCCCAACCTTGCTCGCCAGAAAACGCATCTGAGGGGGTGTATTTTAAAAATTTTCTGGGGAGGGCCCCCCACACCCCCCCTTCGCGTGCTCGCAACTATGGGTTAAGTTAGACCCCCTGCTACAAATCCTGTAACCGCCCCTGCCGGCAAATTGCCAACATTTTGAAAAACGAACCCCCCCAATAGAAAGCTGGCTACGGGCCTGTAGTATAGTATAGTATAGTATAGTAATGCCTATAGTAGGTATAGAGCTAGCTAGCATACGAGCTATTATAGACTCGTATATAGTGCTAATAGTAATACCAGTACTGGCAGTAGGAGTACTATAACCACATTACCACCATACAGTACTCACTTTATATCTAGGCTGTCTATGGCTCTAGTACTATAGACCGCGTACAGTTGCCGCTGGCAGAGCTGCAACTGTACGCGGGCTATAGTACTAGAGCTAAGCTGTCTATTGCCATTGTGCCTGTAGTTTGTGCTATCTCTGGTACAGGCGGTGACTAGTGGTTCACTGGTTGTAGTGGCACTGGCACTAGCACTGCCACTAGCACTGTGGTCACTCAACCCACGCACGCATGTCACATGCACGCACGCACGTTTATTCGTGGTATTATTGCGAGTGATGTAAGTCCGTGACAGTGACGGATCCAGGATTTCAAGGAGGGGGGGTGAGAAACAGGTGGGGCGTATGTCACTGTCAGTTATGACTTATGTTCTCCCCCAGAAAATTTTGAAAATGTCGATTGCAGGAGATGGTATTTGACGCAGGCACTTGGAGTGTTTCAATAAAATATAATGCTAAATAAATACGAAATCTATTTACTACCAAAGTCTTAATGTTTCTATACTCTCTTTCACCTATTATTGCCGACAATTTCTTGTAAATGCCATCCAAATGCTCATGTGCAACAAACGCTGGCGGCGGCTATTGCTCACGCTGCACACTGACACTGAAAGAGAGTATAGAATTAGAAACATTAAGACTTTGGTAGTAAATAGATGTCACATTTATTTAGCATTATATTTTATTGAAACGCTCCAAGTGCCTGTGGTATTTGAGGCACTTTTGAGTACATGTACAGCCTTCATTCTGACTACGACAATTCTCTTTTTAGTAGAACAATTCTTGCGCTTGCAGCGTGGCATTGATTGATGTACAGGTGGGAGTGAGCATTGTTTAAGTCACGCTCATTATTGAATATGTGTGGGGGTTGACCACCGCTGGGATAAGGGCAACAGCAAAACTCTTTCTTGGAATTGTGGAAAAAGCTGCAAAAGGGTTGTAACCTACTTTGCCACTCAATTACATAATTTAACCCATGCATCAGGTGCCGTTTTGTTCAGCCACGCGACTATTATACATGGCAATAATCAATTGGTATATATACGTGTGTAAAAATATTTTTAGTCCACCAGAGGGGGATGGCTAGCCACCCAATCCACCCCTCCCCCTCCTAAATCTGCCACTGCATGATCAGTCTTAATTAACAAATCTGAACATGTATTCCAAGTTTGTAGAGCTATGTTGTCATGTCAAATTAAATAATTCCAATAATCAACATGCCATTAACATGTGATCATGTAAATATATCCAATCTACTTTAATTCAATTATTTATATTGATGGGTTATGCAGAGATGCCAACCACTACGATTTATCCGTATTTTATACGAATTTCTATTCCTTTTGCACCACTACGACCAGTTTGTATCAAACTACGAATTTCACTGTGATCGAAAAAAAAAATTGGTGGTCAATTATTGTCATTTTTTGTCAATTTATTGTCATTTATGACCCTCAGAATGCAGGAAATTGCATCTCAGAATCAAAAAAATTTCCGGGGGGCATGCCGGACCCCCCTAGCAAACTCGGGTCACGTAGTGCTCGGGGCTCGAACTACTAATTTGATGGCCAGAAACTACGGATTGCTTCAAATATATGTTGGCATCTCTGGATTATGGAGATTGAATAACTGACTCTACTGCTAGTTGCGTGCGTTTTGCACTGTAGGTCGGTACGTAAAAGTGTCATGTACTTGGGTTTGTTAAATGTACAGTATATTACTTATATTATTAGCTGTAATAGTTCATTCAGTTCAAAAGTAATGTAAGGTTGCGCTGTTATTCCTCTATAGGAGCAAGCTCGGGTATTGGAGCAGCAACAGCCATTTACTTTGCATCCCTTGGTGCTAAACTAGCCATCACTGGCAGGAATACAGAGTCCCTCGATGATACTAAGCGGAAATGTATAGAAGAAGGACTAGCAGAAAATGAGGTTTGTCTCTGTTCAAACAGACCTGTATAAAAGATTTCAATTCATTGTAGGCCAACCCCATGAAATGATATTTGAGGTGCAGTTTAATGTAAATGTGAATTACATTGTGTGTATTTTGAGATGTACAGGAACACATACATGTGGTCTACAATATAGAATAACATCACAATTAACAAAGCATTTTTTATTGAATTTGATTATCGTTAGAGACAGCAGTAGGCTAAAGTTGTGGAAGTGTGGTATGAAATTCTTGAAGAATTTTTTGATGCATCATTTCATAACTCTAAAATTATTAATATTAATATTAACAGTCACTAAATGATGAACAATGCGACACCAGTCACCTTATAATAACAAATAATTAGTTGCCTTTTGTGTAACATAATGCAAACGTTATGTTCTAGGTGTTCATCAGTGCTGGGGATTTAGCTGTTGATGCAGATCTAGAGAGAGTCTTTGAAGAATGTGCTTCATATTATAATAACACTCTAGATGTCCTGGTATGTATACATATAAAATTATTTTACTACACGTAAACGTTGTATCCACGTGTCTGCAATTAAACTAACTAGTAGAGTTTGTTTGAATATGAAATTTGTTTTTTCCCATCTTTTTACTTTCTTCGCTTTTTTATCTCTTCTTTTGGTCTTTCAGGTGAACAATGCAGGAATAGGTGTTGTTGCTTCCTTGTTAAACACTACCATGGAGATGTATGACAAACAGATGAACATCAATACTAGATCAGTATTCTACCTGACAAGACTTGCTGCTCCATTACTGATTAAATCAAAGGGTAAATAGTTTTTGTCAGCTGAGAAATACACATGCAATGGCAACCATGCACCAGACCTGTTTGTTAGATCAATACTTCTACCAATAAAATTGATTGTGTATTATACCACTGGTCGATACTTAAAGACATTGAAACATATTGGATCCATTTCATAACCGGTTTTGTTTTTAGTGCTTGTTCAGTTTTTGCAGCTGCAGTTATAAAACGTAGCACATCATTGAAAAGCAAAATCTTCCACAGATATAATTGTAGCATTTCAAACTTAGTTATGTGTGTTGTTATAATATTTTGTATTTACTTTACAGGAACAATAGTGAATGTTTCCAGTGTCAATGGTTTGAGATCGGTAAGTAGGCAAAATTGTCCGTAAAATTTACGTTAAGATCATGTGAGCCACATGTTTTAAATCCTCATCATTTAATCCTTTTACTATATTTTCATAATTATTTATAATGCAAATTCTTGGCAGGTGCCCTCTTTCTATTTAGGTCATTGTTTGTTCTTAGTTGTAGGCTCCCGAACTGTGCATAAGTTCTTACCCGTGTCACTGTCTTTATCAATGTGGGGTTGAGATCTGATTTTGACGTTTTATTGTTGAGTGTATTCACTAAATGAAGTCGTACATTTATCTAGCTCGTGTATTTCTGTATTTCATAACCTACATGCGTTTTTGCCATATTTCAGTTCCCTGGCCTCACTGCGTATTGCATGTCGAAGTCTGCCATAGACCAGTTTACTCGATGCACAGCTCTAGGTAAACACTACAAGCTCGTTGTGCTCATCTGATTGGCTCTGTTCAAATCAGTTAAACAAACAATAATTAGAAGTCTATTATAGTCTATAGAAAATAACCTAGTAACCTATTTTTTAAATGGGGTTTGGACAAGTTGTTTAGTTATTATTCTTTGTATTTTGATGAAAGGTAACCGTGTTCCTGTGACAAAGCTATTTGTTAGAATTGTGTGTTCTGCAACAAACACTGTAGTGAGTGTAGATTTACATGGTCCTGTCTGGCATGCATGCTTTTTTTTCAGATTCCAAAGGTACTTATATTACAAGGTGTAGAGTATATGTTGTACAGAGCATGCAATTAGTGCAATGCATAATTAATTACGGTTGAAAGCAATAGAGTTTTACATGCTCAACATTAACCATTTCTGTGGAGTTTCTTCTAGATGGCAAAAACTGCTAAATATATTATTTATTCATTAAGTAATGTTACCTCCCAGTTTGCATCACCCAGTAAAAACAGACTACAGTTTGTTTTGCTTACCAAACAGCCAAAGTAATGTTGTTTTATTACGGCAGTCAGCGTTGAATGACATTAGAAACATTTACACACCTGAATTAAATGTGTTGTATACGAGTCGCTGTCACCTAACGTAATTCATTGTTATATATATAATATAGTCTGGATTTATTTTGGTATTCATGCGTAATTCATTTCAGATCTAGCAAGTACTGGAGTCAGATGCAATGCTGTAAAGTAAGACACCATTATTCGTTGGGGATTTGTTACTTGCTTACCCTATTCAGGGGCGGATCAAGGGGGTGTGTCCGGGGTCCGGACCCCCCCCCCTTTAATTTCAAAGTGCCCTAAAAAATGTCATCACAATTTTTTTTAGGGCCAGTTTTTCTGATAAAGATTTACTTATATATATATAAATTTGTTATAAAAACCTAGAAATTGGCAAAGAGGGACCGGATCTGATAAACTTTTGCATTCTAGACATCAAAATTATTGCTCAGATGCTCTCAGAATGCACCTTTTTTTTTTAATTTGGTGGAGGTCCCACAACCCCCCCCCCCTCTAAAGTCCCCTTCGGCAGCTTTTTAAAACACCAGAAAAATTAAGCAGGAAAAGGTGCTCTTTATTTCTTCCTGGACACCCCCTTCCAAAAATTCTGGATCCGCCCCTGCTGTTATATTATCAGAAGTAAGATAATATACCCTATATTATGTTACTCCTGATATTATGTGTAACTGAAGTATAGACAGTTTAAAATTCTTTGATAATATCCATAACTACGTGTTATGTGGAGCATTTTTGTTATTATGCTAATCGTACACTAAACTCCCTCTGTGTCATAGATTTTGGCCAAACGTCAATTAAGCATATTAATTCTAGCACATCCTGCTGTGCATTTCAAGACTGTAACGTTTCTGTTTTTCGTTTTAACATTTGCCAGAACCGCTGCGATAATTTTAATATCATAGTGGTGGGTAATTTATTTTTCACATAAGTGTGAATTCTGTTTTTCAGTCCTGGTGTGATAGTTACAGATATTCACAAGCGAGGAGGAATGGATGAAGTAGCGTATGCTGCGGTAGGTAACACTAAAAACATAACGTGCAAAATACAAATATATATATATATATATATATCATCAAAATAATACTTTCTCTCAATTAAGTCTTTCTCTTTGTCTCAATTCTTTCACATGTATAATATTCTATAGAATATATAGGTAGCAATATCAATATACCACTATTTATAGAATCTGTTGTTGTTGTTTTTTTCAAAAAAGAACCTGGGATCTTTTCTATTACAGTTTCTGGAAAGGAGCAAGATGACACATGCACTGGGGCGAGTTGGTCAGGCAGACGAGGTTGCTAAAGCAATCTCATTTTTTGCTTCTGATGAATCTTCATTCATTACAGGGGCGACCCTGCCTATCGATGGAGGTAGACATGCCATGTGCCCACGTTAATGGTGTTTGCTTGCATTCTGAGTATTTTTATGTGGGGTTCTATGCTAAAAAGTTATACCTGAACCACAAGAAGTATAATCATGAGCGTAGTAGGAGTTATGATGAATTATTATGAAATTTGTGACATATACTACTTATTTTCACAAATTCGTAGGTGAAACAAATTATCTCTACATCATTAAAATCATCAATATTTTTGGTAAAGATGGTATAAGTCTGTTGATCAAAGAAAGGTGTTTGCAAACAAGCATATGAATGAAATTGGTTTATTTTCCTTGAGATGCACCTAATTTTGATCTTTCACTTCAAGCATGCCAGTTATGGTTTTCACCATGTTTTTCCACATAGTATTTTAGGCCCCCAGCTACGCATTTTTACTTTAACCACTGTGGGAATAGTATATGTACCTGAAATGCGGTAATTGATATGTACTTGTATAAGAAGAATTGCACAATGGCATCTTCATATAGTTTTAAGTTTGACACTAGATTGTGTTATTACTGTTTGCAGTAGCAGGGTTATTGCTAGCTCTAGTAGCTCTGCAGGCCTGCGGCAACTGTACGCGGGTTATAGTTACTAGAGCTAGGTTATTGCTAATGTGTGTCACATCATCGATTGCTTTGGCTGTGGCTTTAGCATCTTTGTAGCTACTCTATAAAAAAATTATGTCACCATTGATTGCTGTGGTACTTTTATACTGTGTTTTTCTACTGCTTAGTTTGATTTGTTTTTATAACGATTACTTCTGTATGCACGTTCAAGTGCATATAGTCTAGTGTAACAAAATTTGATATGGTAGTCAATGTGGAAATTGTGATTTTGTATGTAGCATTTGACTTGGTAATAAAAATGGGATTATTTATGTTAAAACAACAGCGATTCGTTCGTTAGTGTTTTTCTTTGTGCATATTATATTTATAACCTCCTATTTAAGAACAACTTAATTTACCATGTTGCCGTAATGCGGATTCAGAACCACTGCTGTATATTTCATGTACCGTGTAATTGCTTGCAAACTTGTACTGTTTTGTACTATCAACAGCTGTTTTGCATTAACGTGAGGCGCCACCATCCAATGACAAGGAAATGCCAGAGCATATAAATCAACTGACTTATATGCTCTGGAAATGCTGTTGAATTTTGAAATCATAGCGGCATCTAGTGTGAAAAATGATTATAAAATGCGCATATATGGAATAACCCAGAGGAGAGAGAAGAAAGTGCGGCAGAGAAGAGAGAGGAAGGCAGAGAGGAGAAAGTACGGCAGAGAGGAGAGAGGAAGGCAGAGAGGAGAAAGGACGGCAGAGATGCGCTCACGCACACACGTCGCACACACGCGCTAACGCACACACGTCACACACACGCGCTCACGCACACACGTCGCACACACGCGCTCACGCACACACGTCGCACATACGCGCTCACGCACACACGTCGCACACATGCGCTCACGCACACACGTCGCACACACGCGCTCACGCACACACGTCGCATACACGCGCTCACGCACACACATCACACACACGCGCTCAGCACACACGCGCTCACGCACACACGATAAAAAAAATCGTGAGCCCCCTTAGGTCTTTGCCCCCCCCCCAATCCAAAACTGCTTCCGGCGAGCCTGGATGTATTGTGTATATGGATATATGTATGTATTTCTATGCGGTAAGTGCCCGCTAGATGACCTGGCTGAAATGCGTGCTAAAATGTTTAGATAACATCTACATCTACATCTATATGGTTACGTAGATAAGAAGTAGCTCTATACTACTAATAGCACAGACTAACGGATACATAGTCTAACATCCGTTAGTCTGTGCTAATAGTGGTACCTATAGCACTCGTTGACACTTCCTGTGACAGATTTATTGTGGCAGTGTCAATGTGCAGGAAACTTTCCATTTTAGTATTTAAGAATATTTCACATATTTCAATTATAATCGATAGACAAAATAGCAAACCATAATCATTTCTTTGGTGGAGTAGCATTGTGGTTGGGTTTATGAATTTGTGTTACTTATAACACAGTGCTGGTGCTAATAAACATGATCAGTGGTTACAGCAGAGTTACAGTTAATATTTGTTGCGTTTACGGCTGCATGATGGCGCCAGGAGTCATGGCCATCGGCCTCGATCGGCCTGAGCCTTTCGACAAGGAGAATAGAAGTTGTTTACTTTAGACCTAGTAAATTAGTTTAACTTGCTTAGGTGATCTGCGGATTCATAGTCTATCGGTGTGGTAACGCGATCGAGTGCAGTTATGGCGTCATTGAGAGGCAAAGTTTGCTTGGTAACAGGTAAGGCCCAGTGCCGTTGTTGTTACTCTGTGTGTATTCATATTTACGAGGACATACAGTGTCATACTCTTACTGAGATGTAGCTCTAGGTACTATAGCTGAGAGGGTCTATGTCCCCCGGGGTACTGCCGGAACGTACCCTGGTAGTGGTACTATCTAATATGCCGAACCGTACCTCGCCTACTCCACTAACGAGTCTAGGGAGTCGCCTACGCCTACTCCCTAACCCGAACCCTAACCCTAACCCTAATCCTAACCCTAACCTGTAACCATATCAAATAGTGACCAGGGTACGTTCCGGTTGAGAGAGAGAGAGAAAGCGAGAGAAAGGGAGGGGTAGATAAAACTACACAAACATCATTATCAGTCGTAACTGATCCGTCATCCGCCTTTCGTTGTCGAATTTCATATTAATTTTATGCACATAAAATATTTTTTCAGTGCCAATCGCGGCGCCGTAACCGGATAAACATACAGAGGACACGGAGAATCGACACGTTTTCAAGGCAACGTCGAGCAGCGAGCGATTCAGTGGTTACCGGTCTCCAGTTACACATACCACGAAATGGGTAGAGCTATACGTACACGCCTGATGCGACCTGAGTTTGGAGATACTATTCATACTGATTTCATCCCGTAAAGTAAAACGTCTTCTTATGTAGCTCCCCGGCATTTCGTCAGTTCACAGATATTGAATTATTTGACTGGTCAGGGAGATGCCAATGACAATGACGTCACGACAAGAGCGTATTTTCACCGCAAGTTGTATTCTCTTTAGAGAGACGCCATTCGTGAAGAGCTATGATAAACGCGTTGTTAACAAGCTATATTCTCTTTACAAACATTTGACTTCCATGATATATTTCCTTAATTTTTATTATTTGAATGTTATTAGAGGATATATTGGTTAAATTAAAGCATGAACGCGTGATTAAAAGCTTTGAGTAAAACCACCAATGTATATCAATTGTAAATGGAACTTTAAAACTAACAATAGTGGTTGTAAAACACTTTTGGCCTTATGGTAAAATAATTCATCGGTCGGCCTTTTATAAACGAATGTCGTTATAAATTTCATATATAAATAATACATTGGATCTAGTTAATATTCCACTCAGTCACTGATAAGTCATGTTTCTGAACACGTCCCCCGTGATTTTCCGCGTATGATTTGTAGGCCCCTACGCCTGCGGGCCACTGTCGGAATGTGTATAAGGCCACTGCCTATCTGTCTGACCTTTGCAAAAAAATTGAGTTCAGATGTTCCTGACAACGGTCCCCTGATTATAAATTCACGTTTTTATATTTATTATTACATATATTATAATTACGTACATTTATTACGTATACGCGCGTGCGTATTAGCACATGCTTTCACGATTGAAATACTTTCTAATAAATATACTCGTACTAAAATTTTCGAGGTACTTTTTATATGATGGCGATTATGTAAAAGATGTGCACAATAATTTGTAAAAGAAAGCTCTACATATTTCAGTAAAGAGTCGAGTGCTAGGATAATACAGTGCAGTGAATCACAGTGGTGGGAATCTCCGCATGTAGAGTACAATAAACTAGAGCAGTAGAGGAGTAGAGTAGAGTCCAGTGCAGTAGAGCAACAGAGCAGTAGAGCAACAGAGCAGTAGAGTCCGGCAGTGCAGTAGAGCAACAGAACAGTATTGTAGAGCAGTATAGCAGTATATAGAGTAGAATACAGTTCAATAGAGCAGCGAAGCAGTGCAGTAGAGCAACAGAGCAGTATAGTAGAGTAGAGTACAGTGCAGTAGAGCAGAGTAGAATGCAGGAGTTGTTGTTGTTGTGTGGACCTTGACCCTGACATGGCCTTGAGCTCAAGGCCATACATTTTCCAATTTTAAGATTTTCCGTGGCCTTCAGCTCAAGGCCATGGCCTTGAGTTCAAGGCCATGGCCTTGGGTTCAAGGCCATTGCATTTTCCAATTTTAAGATTTTCCGTGGCCTTCAGCTCAAGGCCATGGCCTTGGGTTCAAGGCCATTGCATTTTCCAATTTTAAAATTTCTACATGACTAGGCCAAGGCCATAGCCTTGAGCTCAAGGTCATATCCTTGAGCCATTTTCAAAATGTTTACATCACTCGATTGAAAGTCAAGTCACATGGTCATCACTCATGGTCAAGTTGTGTTTATATTTTGCCTAACAACATCGCGAAAATATCTTACCGTAGTTGACAAGATTTGAACCCGGGATTATTGAGTATCAGCCCAGCACGCTACGCTATCACCCAAACACCATTCCTTATATTCTCAGAACGAATCTATGTGTTACATTTTACTCAACAAGAGTTTGAAAATATTTTAAGAAGTAACCTCACAAGAATTGAACGCGGGACAACCCGGTCCTATTCCAACATGTTACGCACATGCCTAAACTTACAACTTCTGAGTGGTTCAGATCTGATGTGTGTGTCCGTTTTCGTTTAACAGCAAGAAAAGTCAACAAAGAAGTCATTGCCGAGCATAGATTTTAATGTGGAAATTTTCATTTATAAACGAGATATAAATACTAGTACAGTTCTTTTCATGCAAACCTTTTATGATTGATAGAACCGCGCTATATTTATTATTGTTTATACTAACAATAACAATAATTCATAATACAGTCGTTCGATGATAATTAATCGAAGCAGTATCCCTTCAAACATGGATTCACACAGTAAAATATGCGGTACTCGCCTCTGGTTTGCTTGTCCGCAAAAACGGATAGATATGGCCAAATAAACTTTTAAGAAAAACCACACTATACACTATATACTTCCGTATATATGCTTTAGGGGTAGCTAGAACTAACCGCACTACAAAATCATATATTTGAGAGCATGAAACGGAATATAGTTTTACCACCTCTAACTAATATTAAGCTACAGTGACGAGTAACAAACAGTAGATCCAACCCGCAACTGCTGGGCATCAACATCAAAGATTCGTAGGCCTACTTGTGTTTAAAACAATTTCAAAAGCGAACATTTCAGCGCGCTAGAACAAAACGCGTTAGGGGGATTTATATCGTTCTCACAGGGAAATAACCACGCATTTTATTGAGTTCACTCCCTGCGTAACAACTAACAAAATTACTAACGACAAAAAACAAACCATTAACAAATATCGGCGATGTGACGATTACTTTAAAATCGACGTGAAAAGAAGAAACACGACAGCATATCCTGGAAAATAACCATTCCAAACAGTCACTTGGATATATATATATATATATATATATATATATATATATTGGGTATTCATACGTAGTTATGTTGATAGTAGTACAGGGGATGACACGAACATATACATATGTAACTGAACGTAACGTGAAATTAACCATGTGTTTTTCTGGTGATAGGGTTAGAGCGAAAACATTTTTTCTGGTATCTTCACTCCGTATTTCTCTGTTAGAATTACTAACATTACTAAAGACACTTCCTGGCATGAGAAAACACATGAACATAATAGTGGCTATAAATAGCTATTATGCACATTGATAATAATTTAACCAGGAACCTTTCACGGAAAATTAGATTTTGGCTGTCACGTATTCTGAGATTTTCATGAAATTAAATTCGGCCTCTGATCTCACATACATAATCATTAATTATAGCATATACCATTTTAATCCAACATATGGACATGCTCCGCCCCATGTAATAATATATATATATATACATAATATAGGTACACTGCATAGAAGGATAACACATGATAAACAGCGTAGTGCTCCAGAACATATACAAGAAGGCAGCTACCATAGAATCATAGAATTTCCATTGACTAAAGCAGACAGGCATTCATGCACTGCTTATGCCAGAAGTAGAGTTATAGCACGTTTGCACATTTTCAAGGTTATATATGCCAATAACTTTTAGGCATCTAATATATTAGCAAAGGCAAGTTTTCTATTACTACTATTGTTACATAGCAATTTTACACTATTGAATAATGTCAACTGTGGTGACATATAAGAATAAAAGCAGCAGCACTATTAGACACCAGGGTTCTCCACACACCTTCAACGCACGTAGGGTCTGACACGCCTTCAAAGCTGAATCTAATTTGCAACAGACCATAAATAATCTGACATACCTCAATGTCTGACTATGCTCCGAACTGATATGTTTACCTGTGTGTTGGGACCGCTTACGAAATGCGTTAATTAGCACTTCAATTATCAACTGGCAACGACATGCCCGACATGCCTTCAGAAACTCATAGGAAGAACCTATACTGTAACACTGTCGCTTCTGTTTATTTTGATATTGTTGGAGTAGCATATAAATATATATATTCACTGTAATGAGCTACACGGACGATCACACTGTTAATGACTAGGGGCTACGTAATTGCTCTATCTTCACTGGCAAAAGAGCACTTGACCATTTCTTTGCAAATGCCGTATTCATCTTTCACCAAACATTCCATGTCTGGGTATTTTTCACAATAACTAACTAATAACTGATAGCAGTCAATGCTCTTCTGAATGCACTCGATCCTTTTGTGAACATTGGAATCAATGACTTTCGCATGCATGCACCACATGTAGAAGTAAGCTATCAGCACCAGATAAACATTATCGCCGTCAAACTGTTCCAGCATCTCGCCGTTCGAGGAACAACTCAAAATTGCGAATGCACTCGGCGCAGAGCAGGTTGATCTTCCTGACGGCGTGCGGCGACGGCGTCGTCTGCTGCTCCTCAATAATCGCCATCTTGATGTCGAGCATCTTGCCGTACGCCTCGGCGATTTCGTACGTCAGCTGCCGGCAGACGAGCAGGTAGTGGTGTGGGTTGAGCTCGCCGAGCACTCCCCGCAGCGCGTCGACGCGCTGCTTGTGCATCTTCGACTTACACTCAAAGTCCGACTCGAAGAACGTGAGCAGCTTGTAGAGCAGACTAGAGTCACAGGTGAGCTCGGCGTAGTCTGAGACATGGTCGTAAACTGAGTAGAATTCGCGCACGTCCGCGAGCGAGGGGTCAGCCAACTGGAATGCTCTGGGCAGACCGTAGAGATAGCATCAGTGCCGCTTCAGTGATTCTGGACCCATGGAATCCTACTGGTGACCACTGGGTGCTGGTGGCCATATCCATGCAGGAACGACTGATATTATACTTGGACCCACTGGAGAGCGCAAATGCCTCGTCTTCTCCCCGAGCAAATCATGCATTCCCCACGATGATAGCTTTCCTGAAAGAGCAAACGAAGATAGATGTGGTCGAATGGACATTGACATGCCCACAACACAGACTCCAGTAGGACTAAAACCCATGAAATGTGCTCACGATGCAATCAATGGTCACAACAAATCGGACAACTGGATACATGCTGCGACAAGTGTGAACATTGGCTTCACTGTAAATGCATTGGTATTTCTAAAGAAGAAGCTCATTTTACTGTCCATCTGTGTGATAATTATTTATAATTAAACCTGAAATGAAAGCAAACAAATGGTGGAAAATGATATTACACTGGAGTCATCAAGAGGCCAAACTACAGCTATGACAAGCCCTTGGTATGAAGGCATCTCATATAAAATATCAAGATAATTCATTGAGAAGTAGAGAAGTTGTGGCTAATAAACACACTAAAATATAGTAGTGCTCCAAAACTGCGATTTGCTCCCATACCTTGCAATAGTTTTAGGATTCCCCCAAAATCAGTCAAAATTTTATCACCATAACGCCTGTAACTCTTGATAGGGTAGAATTTCTCAATTCTGTAAACTGTGTCATGTTTCCTATGGCTATGCCCTGACCCTCAGCCACAGCCTGTGGCACATGCACTAGAAACACTTCAATAATAAAATTATGGTAAATAAACACGAAATGTATTTACTTTTAAAATCTTCATGATTATCTACGCTCTTTTCCCTATTATTGGTAATGTAGTGGCCCTAGGGGTGGCCACACTGGACTTTCACACGTGCTGTGGTTAGCACGTGTTAATTTATTTTTGTAATTTATTTGTGTCGGGACCATTTTTCGCTCCTACCGCGAAGGTAGGACGGTGATGCAGTAGCAGGAAAACCCAGAGTGAAATGAACGCAAGTCTTTAGATAGTCTTTATACAACTGATGGTTTTATTCATCATATACAAATAACATGAATAACGCTCACTGCACGTATCTCGAATATAGCGTATAGATATATATAATATATATTGCTCGTGCCACGTTTACGTTACCTCGTTAGGTGATTACACGTTTAACTTCTCTTAGCTATTCTACGGGTTAATATTGTAACCGTCTCTGTCTCTCCCAGTCGTGTGCTCCGCGGCTCGGCGCGAGTTCGTGGGTTGGCAGTGTCTCCCTGTCGTGTGTAGGCTATAGCTCCCTTAGTATAAGGTATACCTTCTCGGGCGTTGTCCTGCTCGTGGGTGGCTCTCCCTCCGATAGCGAGGAGAGAGAAGGCACAGGGGGAGAGGAAGGCAGAGAGGAGAACGAGGAAGCCAGAAGAGAGGAGAACGAGGAAGGCAGAGAGGAGAACGCGGAAAGCACAGAAGAGATAGAGGGGGCGGCAGAGAGGGGAGAGAGAGGAGGGAGAGCAAGGCAGCGAGGAGAGAGAAGAAGGTGAGGAGGAGAGCGAGGAACGCAGAGAGGAGAAAGAGGAAGGGCGAGAGAAGCACGGACGCGATGTTTTGGGTTTAAAAACATAAATCTAACCTAATTCTTTATTGAATTGTATGTTATTGTGTATCAGACAAAACGAGCATTTATTATCTCTTTAGCCTGTCAGTATGTTCAACATATATAGCGAGCATATATATAAACGAATCACTTGGACTTTCGTCACGCCGTGACGGGCTTCTTTCTCGCGAGATATATCACGGTCAGTAATTATAGACGTGGCCCGAAGCGTCTTCGCCATGTTCTCACTGTGTTGTGTCGTCAAATATTAAAGCTGTGACAACTTCGGAAGCGCATCCTAATTACAGCTAACGTGAGTAAATAAATATACAGGAATTCATGCTCAACTGACGCTTCCGTACCTGTTATAATTTCATACTTAATTCATGTTGTTCACTCGTTTAATTGCAGCATATAAATAAATTAATCAGGATAACACACACATACCTGAATGAGTTCAATTGTAAATACCCTTTTCATGCGTTATAGTTGCATAAAGATGCGTGGTTATAGTATACTATATAGTTATAGCGATAGGGTATAACTAACGGTAAAGTCTATATGTCAGTCAGATAATATCAAGAGTACATAATAGAGATACATACTCTATGCTCTCTCATACATACTCTATTATGTACTCTTGATAATATATGTCGCATCAAAGTTATTTTCAGGGTCAATCGCCAGACTGGAGGACACGGAGAATTATCACGTAACTTTCGAGACAGTGTCGTGCAACGATTGAGTGATAACCGGTCTCCAGTTGAACATACCAAGACTGGCAAGAGGTGCGCAGAGATATACGCAAGTGTTATTATATTATATATATATATATATATATATATATATATATATATATACACACAACATTTATAATATGTATATAATTATTCTCCATTATACAAAATCAGTATTTATTTCTTTAACCTGTCAGCCTGGGCAACATTGCCCGATAGTCTATATATACGAGTCAATCACCCCTGATTACTTCTCCACTCCTCGTTTCACAAGTTTATGTAAACCAGATATTAAATTCCTGCATGTCAAATTTCTAGTGCCAATCACGTCGCTGAAGGACACGGAGAATCAACATGTTTTCGAGGCAACTTCGTGCACCGCTCGCCAGTTAAGTATACCAAAAAGTTTAATTTTAACGTAGGTATTATTTATTATACTATAGCACACATATGTCATGAATCTATGTTATGAATCTGCTGGTGTTTTCTAGCATTAGCGCTATGTTGCAGGTACTAGAGTGTGTGGTATAGTGTATATATGGTATATATTTAACGTACGCTGACTATTGGGAGAGGTTATATGGGTTATTATGGGATTTATAGTGAGAATGAAAGGAAGCTATAATTAATTTGGACTAGGATATTCGCAGAATGGATTTATACAAACGAAATTTCAGAACCATTTTGTTCGTAACACGGCTGTGCCTTGTAGAGTATCTTGACCGGCTACTTGTATAAGGTGTATAGGTGTATATATAATATTAGAGAATATGACAGAGGGGAGAGAGAAAGAGGGAGATAGCGAGAGACAGAGAGTGAGAGTGCGAGGGCGAGCGAGCGACAGAGAGGTAGGAAAGCGAGAGCGAACGAACAAGCGAGAGAGGGAGATAGATAGATGGACATTCAGAGAGAGAGAGAGAGAGAGAGAGAGAGAGAGGGAGAGAGAGAGAGAGAGAGAGAGAGAGAGAGAGAGAGAGAGAGAGAGAGTGGGGTGTGTGCGCTCTCTCTCCCTCAACCGCTCGTTTGTTCGTTCGTTCGTTCGTGGCCGTACGAAGACTAACTGATTTTACTGTTGGCTCTCGGTGATTTTACTGGTTGGTCCTTATATAGGACCCTGCGGTGACGTAGGAACCTGGCAGTGCCTCCCTCTCCCGTACCTCAGGTGCCTGGCCGTTGGCACCCCCTCGCTTAACACGTGTACAGGTGATGCAACCCCCTTGGTCCAGTATATGTCCGAGCGTCACACCCCCCTGTCTGCCACGTGCTCGGCTGGCGCCGCTCTCTCGCCCGGCGCGTGTACGTGATGGCGAAACTCCCTGATCTCCCACATCTGGTAGCCATGGGACCCCCTTCCCCGCGCTTGTCTGTGTCGTTGGGGAAAACTTTCTACCTGTTGCTAGGGGAACTTTCTATCTCTGTTGCGGTTGAACTGGTCTCTGGTTTGTATGACGTCATCCCCCCTGAAATCTCCACAACTCTTCACCCCCACCCCCCTGAAATCTCCACAACTCCTCCCAACCTTTCTTAGTATCTGCCTTCGGATACCCCTGATCTTCCTCCCTTTATATCATATGTCATATTCTATGGTCTTCATCTCATCTCATTATTGTTGTTACGAGTTGAAGCTAGGGTTAGTAAGTGGACGCAAGTAGACACTGTACATAGAAATGTTTTACCACGTGAAAGTTTTAATAACCATATAATATCTCATCGTTGTTACCCGTACAATCGTCTATTGCAATATTCATGAAACTATATATATTTTGCCTAATAATTAAATCATCTCTATATTCACAATATAATATTCACAATGTGTATACGAAAAAAAAAATCGCCTTGGTTCTCAACAGTTCCCTGATTACTATATAGATACTGGATATAGGTACTATATATATACTGGACTCCTCTCCCTCGCTATATATTTATGCACATAAGCCTATCTATTTCTACCCCTCCCGGCCAGCTGTTCCGCTCCCCATGCTATCGTTCTCACTATTAGATGGGCTGAGGAGTAAATCCTCGCGTAGCTGTTTTATCTTTTCCCCTTCCTCTAGCTCCTCCACCTTCCGGCTTAGTCGCCCTATCTCTTCGTTTGCCTCCTCCAAGCTTCTGCTTAACTGTTGTTCCTTCTCTCCCTCAGCCTCTCCTTCTTCTCTCACTCTCCCCCTCTCGCATCGTTCCTCCTGGCCCAGTTACCGCTGATAGTTCTCCTCCTCCTCAATCGCTCGCAAATTTGTCCTCAGCTTCCTCCTTCTCTCCGCTAGCCGTCAGTCGCTCCTTGTCCGCCTCTCTTGCAGCGGCTCGTGTCCTTGCTGCCGTGGGGTTTGTTGTACGGGCGTTACAACACCCAGCAGGCACTCCGGGCTTACTATGGGCTGCCCCTCCCAGGCATATGGGAGGCTCAGCACCTCCACATCCTCCGGGTGCTTCTCAATATAGCGGCGCCAAGGTGACAAGTGTGCCCTGGCCTGCAGGCGTCGTTGCTCCTGCGCCTGCTTCCACTCCCGGTCCCGGTTATATCCTGGGCGTCGTGGCATGTCGTTCACCCGGGAGGAGTGGGTCTCGCCGTGCCTCTCATGTTGATGCCGGCGCATCCGATGAGGATCGTCGATTTGGTACCGGCAGTGGGGGCACTGGGGTGTGCGGTGGCATGATCGTGACGATCGGCCCGGCCTGGGTGTGGCGCTGCCTTCGCCTCCCGAGATTGTCTCACTGGGTTCCACATGGATCTCCAGTATGTCCATCTGAAAAGAGAAAACTTTCTTGCCTGTATTCTGTGTGGATCATACCTTCCTTACTGGGGCCCTCCCCTTATAAGTCTAGCCGTTGAGGCGGCTTCCTGACTCTTCCTCCCCTCCTCACTGGAGGGCTCGCCGTCGTTGGTATTTCCTCGTCCTCTCCCCCCGTCGGCTTCCTCATCATCATCCGGAGCGATTTCCTCCCATATAACGTGTTCGTTGTCCTCCACTTGTTCTGCTGGTTTGGCACTTCCTCCCTCCGTCGATCTTGATGGCGCCTCTGAATGTGCCCTCCTCCAGTCCAGTGGCGGCTCCTCCGTTCGATACGGCTTCAGGTAGTCTATGTGGACCACTTTCTTTCTTTCCCATTTTATTCGATAGAGCAGGTCACTGATTCTGTGAAGTACTAGGTAGGGGCCTTGCCAACCATGTCCTAGCTTCCGTCGTATCCCTTGTGGATACCAGTACCACACAAAGTCTCCATCCTTGAATCCAAATGGTTTTACGTTCTTATCACAGCCCTTCTTTTGTCGCTTCGCAGCTTTCTTCATGGCGCCTCTCGCAAAATCGTAAGCTTCCTCCATTACTTCTTGTATCCATCGTACGTATTCATGTGTGCACTGCCTAACCGCTGGCCTTTCCGGGGGTGGTCCCACCATTACGTCTATAGGTAAGTGAATCTCCCGTCCAAACATCATGAGGTTCGGTGAGCATCCTGTAGATGCTTGTGCAGTGGCCCGATAGGCCATCATGACGAAAGGCAGATGCTCATCCCAGTCATCCCTGTACTGACTCACAAATAAGGACAGCATTTGTTGTAACGTGCGATTAAATCGTTCGACTAAGCCATCTGATCTGGGATGATATGGCGTGGTCCTCGTTTTTTCTATTTTTAGGATCTCGCAAACGCCTTGAAACAGCCGAGACTCAAAGTCCGGTCCTTGGTCGGTGTGAATCTGATACGGCACTCCATACCGGCAGATGTATTCCGTTACCAAAACGTCCGCCACGGTATACGCTTCTTGGTTGGGAATAGCGAAGCACTCGGTCCATTTAGTGAAGTAGTCACAGACAACCATAATCAATTTGTTTCCCTTTCCAGTTTCTTCGAGTGGTCCCAGGATATCAATCGCAATTCATTCGAACGGAGCTCCCACTTCCTCTCTTCAACCCTTTTCCAGGTTTTCTTTTCGCGCAGACTGTGCAGTACTGACACCACCGTTTAACATCTCTCGTATAGTGTGGCCAGTAGAATCGTTGCTGAATGCTAGCTCTGCTTCGTTTTTTTCACCCTGATGTCCTCCCGTTCGATGATAATGCAATTGTTGAAATACCTCTTTCCTCAATTCTGCAGGTATTATCAGCTGACGGATTGGATGGGTTGGTGTCACCGGTGTCTCCCACCGCCGATACAATCGTCCTTCGTGTACTTCCAGTTGGTGCCATTGCCCCCAGTATGCTTTTGCTTCCGCTCCCATTCCTGCGATCTCAGAAAACTCAGGCCTATTTGACGCCGTTTCTACTCGTTCCTTGAAGAAGACGATGACAGGATCCCTGTCCTGTAATCTCTTAATGTTCTTGGGGTGCCATATACCATGGTCCTCCCCCTCAACCTCAGGGTTTTCTGTACGATCCTCTCGCCCTTGATTCCCATCGATCATGACTAAAACGCGGCCATGTTTCTCTTCATCCTTCCATGAAGAATCATCAGTCCTCCCATTACGGTTGGGTGGTTCATCTCTCCTCTCTTCCCTGTCTTCCCCATCTTCTTCCTTCGGAACGGCCGTCTATAGTCAACACAGAATCTAACTCCTCCGTCCTTTTAGTCACTAACACAACTGGTGAAGCCCATGGTTCATTGCCAGGTTCAATGACTCCTTTCTTTAGCATCTCTTCAATTTCCTTATCCATCTCTGCCTGTCTATCGAAAGGAACTCGGCGCGGTGATTGCTTGATCGGTCGAGCATGTCCAGTATCGATCCTATGCTTAATGATACTCGTTCTTCCTAGGCCATCTCCTGGTCCAGCAAATATATCTCGGTAGTTATGCACCGTTTTAGTGACTCGGCTTCGTTTCTCTGGCTTCAGCCTCGCATCTGCTCTGTCCAGTAGATTCCTTAGGTGGTCTTCAAGCTGTCCGGGTGCTATTCTATTCAGAGTGTTTACCCTCTCCTGTCCCTGCATCGTCGCTTCTTCCTCGATGGGCTTCATTTGTCCCACTTGTTGATCCTCCACCAGCAGGACAGGCCTTTTCCCTGCGTGGCTGATGACGAGTGGTACTTTCATCACTTCTCTGGGGAGCACAGTCTCTTTCAGCTGAATTCCCCGAGACTCCAGCTTCTTAAATTCTATGCTAGGTATCAGTCTCATGTTCTTGGCTGTGGATACATTCGCATCAGCGTATGTCCATCCAGGAACGCTAGAGTCGATCCCTGGCAGTATCTTAGTAGTTTCTTCTACGTAGACTGGTCGACCACCCTCTCCACCTATCCAGCATCCTTGAATGTCTTGCCCATTCAATGACAGCATCCCTGAAGCCATGTTGAAGATCACATTGTTTGGGACAAGGAAATCAAGCCCTAATATCCCATCCAGATCTCCTAATAGTGCAACCATCAATTTTTTCTTGTAGATTCGCTCGGCGATTTCGAGGTGGACTTCAGTTTCTCCAGTGATTTCCAGCAGATCTCCATTTGCCAGTTTTAGGCCACTCTTTCCAACACTCAATTGCTGTTTTGTATGTGCCTTAATTTCATTAAATTTATCTGCATTTAATAGCGTAGCACTTGATCCACTATCCACGAGGAATCTCATTTCGTGTCTCTGCACCTTTACTGGCACCCTCCATGTGGGATGCAACTGTATGGATGCTGTTGAAAGTGTTGGCATCCAGCCCTGCTCTGCTGTGATGGACTTCTTACTTTCATTTTCTATAGGCTGCATCTCCAGTTGTTCGTCGTCAGTTTCCATATCTCCAGATTTTTTATTTATTTTATTGAAATTGAAGTGAGTAAGTCGTGCTTTACCTCTCTCCGCCTTGTGATGGACCAGGTCACCGACCCTATGCCTGGTCCTTCCTAGTTTAATGATTGTTGACCACGCGTTCCAGTGGCATTTGGTAGGGTGGATTTCTTGATATCGATGTCATGCAGTCTCTGCGGACAGGCACTATGCATATGTCCGTTCCTTCTGCAGTAATAACACTCAATGTTTCTCATCGGCGCCATGTCCTGCTGTGACCGTGCCATTCCTCTCATAGGTAGGTATGGTGTGCCTTGACCTGACCCTTGACCTTTCCTCCAACCACTGTGTTTTCATGCAGCCTCCCCCGACTCTCGATTTCACCCCTCATCTTACCCATTGCTTGCTTTAGATTCCGTACCTCATCTCGCAGTTGGTTAAGCAGGCTTGATGTTTGATCTATTGGCTGTACCACAGCTCGTACATGGTAACTCCTGTCTGGTGGCGGCTTCCTGCTATGTACAGTTTCTCTCGTTACTGCTTCAAACTGGTCTACGCGGGTTATAGCTTCATCCATTGTTTTCGGCTGTTGAAGGAGTACGTAGCGCTGAATCTCCGTATCTCCCAGACCTACCAGGTACTTATCGATCAGGATCTCCTCAAATTGATGACCGATCATTCCCGGCTATGCGCGATTAAACAGCTGTCGCACGACGGCTCCGTATTCTTCAGGAGTTTCTTCCCCTCTCTGGTTCCTGTTGCGTAACTCGCTTCGATGGACGTGCTTCCGCTCTGCGGGGTCGAATCTTCGTTGCAGGCAAGAAACAATCTGTGCATAGCTGGTTCGCTGTGATCGAGGCATTTCAATCATGGCTTCCAATGCTTCGGCTTCCAGACATAATCCCAGCTCTATGCACCAGGTCTCCTCTGGCCAGTTGTTGTAGGTAGCTGTCATGACAAATTTAACCAGGAACTGTTTTAAAGCAGTTCCGTCTCCTTTCCGAAATGTTGGCGCCTTCCGTTCCTTTCTAGGTGTGCTGCTATGACGTGGCATTGTCGGGCGGGAATCGTCCCCCATCCGTGTGCGCTGCTCTTCCACGTCGTTAGAATAGGCAGATATATCATCATTCTGCTCGGCTGTATCCGACTCTTCTTTCTTCGTCTTGCGTGACATGTTGCTGTAAGCAGGCATTGCTTGTCCGGCTACATGTGGAGTTTCATTGCCGTCCTCCTCTGAGCCTGCCCTATTCTCTCGCGTGGATTTCAGACTACATCTGCTTCGTTGACTGACTGGGCTACCCCAGTTGACTTCGAGGCTCTCCCTAGACCCTCCTGCATGATGCGGGGTTGTGTAGAGCTGCTCCTCGTTTTCTATCGGGCTCTCCTGTCCGGTAGCGTCTAGTGCTCTCCTCCCACCTGTGCCGGTACCGTTAGAGTGTAGATCAGCCGGTGTATCGAATATCAGAGGTGATCCTGCTCCCCCTCGTGCAATGACTTCGTCCGCCGCCCAGCTCAGCTGTCCCGCGCGTGATAACGCATCACGCTCGGTCGTTGGCGGCTGCGTTCTGTTATCACGTTTGGCCGCTGCCTGCTGCGTTCGTACAGGTTCTACACGTACTGGGCTGGGAGTGAAGCAACTTCTCAGCCTCGCCACTAAGCTATCCATTACTATACTAAACTATAACAATTTCACTCTGGTATTACTCTCTTCTGCTACTATTGCATGCGAAAATCCCATTACTATTGCATGCATCATTAGGTGATTACACGTTTAACTTCTCTTAGCTATTCTACGGGTTAATATTGTAGCCGTCTCTGTCTCTCCCAGTCGTGTGCTCCGCGGCTCGGCGCGAATTCGTGGGTTGGCAGTGTCTCCCTGTCATGTGTAGGCTATAGCTCCCTTAGTATAAGGTATACCTTCTCGGGCGTTGTCCTGCTCGTGGGTGGCTCTCCCTCCGACGGGGTGTGTGCGCTCTCTCTCCCTCAATCGCTCGTTCGTTCGTTCCAGCGAAAAAAATACACGGGAGCAGCGAGCGATTTCGCTCCCGTCAGCTTTCAAAGCGCTCTGGTAACAACAATTACGGAAGATGAATTAAGGAACAAATTTTGGAAGATACGAGTAAAAATCGCTCCTGTGCCGCCGGCAGCGTTCGAAATTAGTTCCGACCCAGAGGCCTGAGCACACCAAGTTTTTGCTTGGGCCACCATCTCTACAAAACTGCCGGTCCTCCTGACCGGCACTATTTCCCCTCATATTACGCTGAAATACTACGGTTATCGCAATGGCAGTTTAGACAGACTTCGTCATTTCTCAAGTTATTCAAGTTGAATTTATAACTGCAATTAGTGCACGCTTCTGCCAAAGCCATTAACTAGATTGTTTCCATTCATCAGGTATTTGCCTGGGGCGAAGTTTTGCCGTATTTACTTCTGTACGCTCGATTGCTCGCCGCTAGTCAGATTCCCCGCCATAAGTCAAACAAAGTTTCCGGTCGATCGATAACGAGGCTCGCGAACCGCTGGCGCGGCGCTCGCTTACAGGCGTTAGTGTAGCCGTGCGGAACATAACGACTGTATTATACAGGTTAATCAAACATGCACTTACCATCGCAATCTGCGCTCTTCTTCTTTCTTGGCATTTTGCAAAATGGCG